GTGATTTACCTGCTGCTCCCGTTTCTGCTTCCTCAGCTGAATCCCCTCCTCCTCCCTCCTCCTGCGCATCTCCTCGGGGTTCAGGGCTTTGTTCTTGTAGCTCTTCATTCGATAGTTTTCTGTGAAAACAGGAGCAATTCTGCAATTCTGCAATTCTGCCTCAGGGCTCCTGCACTGCCCCCCTGTGTGTGTCCTTCCCATGGGATAACCCGATGGAATAAATTTATTTACTCCTTGGTTTTCAGAGAAATCCCTATTTCCCTGCTAGCAGCACAGCATTTTCCCACAGATATTTAATCCCAGCTAATAAATATTATTTATTATACAACCTCAGTGAAGGAATGGAGTTTATAACAAGCCCAGAGCAGAGCTGCAGTGAGGGACAGCCTTGTGTCCCACCAGGTGTTCAGGACCTGATTAATTCTGACAAATGCAAATTTCAAATTGCAGATTTCAAATTGCATTCTGACAAATGCAGATTTCAAATTGCATCCTGACAAATGCAGATTCCAAATTGCATTCTGACTAATGCAGATCTCAAATTGCATCCTGACAAACAATTGCATTCTGACAAATGCAGATTTCAAATTGCATCCTGACAAATGCAGATTCCAAATTGCATTCTGACAAATGCAGATTTCAAATTGCATTCTGACAAATGCAGCAATTCCAAATTGCATTCTGACAAATGCAGATTTCAAATTGCATTCTGACAAATACAGACTCCAAATTGCATTCTGACAAATGCAGCAATTCCAAATTGCATTCTGACAAATGCAGATTTCAGATTGCATTCTGACAAATGCAGATTTCAGATTGCATTCTGACAAATGCAGATTCCAAATTGCATTCTGACAAACTCAGCAATTCCAAATTGCATTCTGACAAATTGCAGCAATTCCAAATTGCATTCTGACAAATGCAGCAATTCCAAATTGCATTCTGACAAATGCAGATCCCAAATTGCATTCTGACAAACACAGATTTCAAATTGCATTCTGACAAACAATTGCATCCTGACAAATGCAGCAATTCCAAATTGCATTCTGGCAAATGCAGCAATTCCAAATTGCATCCTGACAAATGCAGATTCCAAATTGCAGATTCCAAATTGCATTCTGACAAATTGCAGCAATTTCAAATTGCATTCTGACAAACAATTGCATTCTGACAAATGCAGATTTCAAATTGCATTCTGACAAATGTAGATTTCAAATTGCATTCTGACAAATGCAGATTCCAAATTGCATTCTGACAAATGCAGCAATTCCAAATTGCATTCTGACAAACAATTGCATTCTGACAAATGCAGCAATTCCAAATTGCATTCTGACAAACAATTGCATTCTGACAAATGCAGNACTATTACTATTCTGTACTATACTATACTATTCTATTCTATTCTATACCACACTATATACTATTCTATACTATACCATACTATACCATAGTATTCTATACTATACTATTGCTACACTATTACTATTCTGTACTATACTATACTATTCTATTCTATTCTATTCTATACTACACTAGGTACTATTCTATACCATTCCATTCTACTACTATACTCCTAGTGTACTATTACTATACTATTACTATTTTATACTATACTACTACTATACTATATTACACTATACTATACTACGCTACACTGCACTATATACTATACCATTCTATTCTATTCTATTCTATTCTATTCTATTCTATTCTATACTACACTATATACTATTCTATACTATACCATACTATACCATACTATACCATAGTATTCTATTCAATTACTATACTATTACTACACTATTACTATTCTGTACTATACTATTCTATTCTATTCTATTCTATACTACACTAGGTACTATTCTATACCATTCCATTCTATTACTATACTACTAATATACTATTACTATACTATTACTATTTTATACTATACTACTACCATACTATACTACACTACACTGCACTATATACCATTCTATTCTATTCTATTCTATACTACATTATATACTATTCTATACTATACTATACTATACTCTACCATAGTATTGTATTGTATTCTATTCTATTCTATTCTATTCTATTCTATTCTATTCTATTCTATTCTATTCTATACTGTAGTATTCTATACTGTACTATACTCTACTCTGCTCTACTCTACTCTATACTCTAAACTCTATACTCTATACTATTCTATTCTATTCTATTCTATTCTATGCTACACTACACTATAGTATATACTATTCTATACTACACTATGTCATACTTACTACTGACTCCTGAAAAACTCGTGGCTGTCTTCTGAAGTGTGGCTGTTTCCCAGTGGTGACAATCTCTCCAAAGCATCAAATTCTCTTTTTCCCCCAAATTTGCTGTTTTCCCTGCAGGTCCATCACTCCAACAAGCCCATCATCTGCAAGGGCTGCAGGAGGGCCTTCACCAACAGCCTGTCCCAGGGGCATTTTATTTTAGTTAGGTTAGATTTTGGGAAGGAATTGTGCAGGGTGGTGAAGGTGTGGATTCCCCTTTGCTGGAATTGTCCCAGGCCAGGCTGGACAGGGCTTGGAGCAACCTGGAATTGTGGAAAGTGTCCATGGGCTGGAAAAGCTCTGAGATCCATCCAACCCAAACCATTCCACGATTGCTACTCTTGGGTAGGAACCTTGGGTAGGAATCCACAAATCTGGAGCAGAAATAACGATGGCGATCCCACTCCCCTTCAGCTGAAATGTGGCTGTTTCTTGTGGCAATCTCTCCAAAGCCTCAAATTGCCTTTTTCCCCCAAATTTGCTGTTTTCCCTGCAGGTCCATCGCTCCAACAAGCCCATCATCTGCAAGGGCTGCAGGAGGACCTTCACCACCAGCCTGTCGCAGGGGCTGCGGCGCTTCGGGCTCTGTGACAGCTGCACCTGCGTCACCACCACCCACGAGGACTCGCTGCCCATCAATCTGAGCCTGGTGGAAACGGCCTCAGAAGGGCAGGAGAAAGGAGATGCTGACAACGATTGGCCCATCTATGTGGAGTCTGGGGAGGAGAACGACCCAGCTGAGGATGATGATGGCGATGACAAGCAGGAAATGCGGCGCGGTTTGTCAGACAGAGAGACTTTGATGTAGCAGTGAGAGCAGAGGGGGAGCACTCGGAGGGTCCCCTGGCAGTGTCTGTGACAGAAAACTCAATCAGTGACACTGTGCTGGTTTTTATTATTCTGGGGTTTTAATTCAATTGTGAGGAGAACTGGATTTTTTTGGATATTTTTAAAGTTTTCAGTGCTGTGCACCAGAAATCTGTGAAGAATCTTCAGTCTGGGGCTCGCAGAGGTTGGACTTGAGCAGTTTCTCTGCCTGCTGGTTTGGGGTTTGCAGGTGGAACACCTCTGGGTTGTTTTGGGGACAGGTTCATTGAATTATTTCAAATTATTCATTGAATTATTTCAAATAATGAGTCCTGGTCCTTAATCCCTGATCTGAAAGGGACGCCACCTTTCCTCTGAAGATGACATAAAATGTGGTTTACATCTCTTCCCTTGGGACTTTTCCAAGCTAATCTGTGATTCTTCTGTCTTAGGACAGTGTTATCTAAATGGTGAACCATAAATGTTTGCTGAGACTGGGTTTGACCTGGAAACCAGGGCAGAAAAACCAGGATAACAACAAAAAACCCCACAAAAAGATGCTGCTGCTGAAAGGATAGACAGGAAGAATCCATCTCTTTCACATATTGCAATAATTTATAGGTCAAGCTTTTCTTTCTGAATTTTTACTGCATCTTCCTCTCCTGAGAGCTCAGGCTGTGGATCTTCAGCTGTGTCTTTAATGTCACTCAGAATTCAGCAGTCTTGGCTTAAATATTAAACACAAAAATGGTGTTTTAGTGGCCAGGACCAAGAGAAAACCCCAAATTCTTTTCAGCTTTTTACAATAGGAGTTAAAAGCTGTCAGGCAGATTCCTTGGGAATTCTGACTGTGGCAGATTGAACAACCAGAGCCACACCTGGTGTAGCTGAGGAGCAGTGAAATATCTGAGCTTTGCTATAAAAAAGCTCTGAATGCCCTTTTGGAATCATTTTCTTCCTCTTTTCCTGTAATTTCTTTTCCAATTCAGGGATCCTCTCGTGATTTATGTTTGGTGATTTAATCCAATATTTATTTTCTTTAAAAAAAAACTCCACTGTGGACCTCCTGATTCTTCGCTGGGGCAGCTAAAACTTTACAAAGGAGGTGAGATTTTTGTCACTTTTCCAGCAGCAAGTTTTTAAGAGCTATCAAAACTCAGGCTGGGGAGCTCTGGAAGAAAACCCAGCACCAGCAGAAAGCCTGTTTGCTTAGGGGTGACCTCCTGTTCCCTGACAAGGGGAACAAAAACTGAAATATACTGTGAAATAAGACTGTTAATGCTCCTTCACTCTGCTGTTCCCAAGTGTTTCACGAAAAGGCAAATTTGATGATTCTTTTGGGCTGGAGCAGAATTTTTTTTTAGCCAGATTTGGCTGACAAAGAGTGAGCAGTTTCCTCCCACTTGGTGCTGTTTCCTGAGGGGTTTTTGGTGTAAAGGTTTTCCCACTTGGCAAACCTAAAAAAACCCCAGAGCCTTCTGATTTCACCAGGGTTTGTTGTGCATACCTCGTGCTTTTCTTGTGCACACGGAAAAAAGAACAATTCAGCTTCACCCAGCAGTGGAACTGCCCCATTGTCGTGTCAGATTTATTTGTGAGAGGTGATCCTGCTCTCATAAACGCAGCCAAGGGTTCATTGCCACACCAGGTAGGATGAGGAAAGAAGAAATAAAGTTGTTTTTTAAAGAATTCACTTTATTGGTGGCTGCTGCAAAGAGCAGAAGGTGAAGAGACTTCTTCTGGTCTGATCCGAGTTAATCTTGATGATTGTCACCACATAATGTGCTGGGATTATTTTCTGTCCCTTAATTTGGGTGATTTTCAGTCATCTCTGCTCCAGATCAGCTGGAAATTTGAGTTTGTATGAGCTGGAGCACAGGACAAGACATTTACAGAATTCTCTAGAGCCCCTGGTTTAATCAATCTGAATTAAGGGACAGCTCATGGAGGTGCCACTTTTGGAGCTCCTCTGAAATCCTGCTGTGCTTTTGGCTCCTTGGTGCTCTTGAGCAAAATGTGGGGCTTGTAAACCTCGCTGGGATGTTTGGAAAAGCACCTTCCAGCCTCCCAGGGCTTGTCTTTTGGACTGCTGGGATTTTGCTGAGTCCACCCAAAACCACAGGGTGATAAAGGAGGGACTTTCTGCCTTGAGAGCCATGGNCCTGTCCCTTCGCTGACCCCTCTCTGTCCCCCCAGCCATGGAGGTCCAGTCCTACTACACCAAGCTGCTGGGGGAGCTGAACGAGCAGCGCAAGCGCGACTTCTTCTGCGACTGCAGCATCATCGTGGAGGGCAGGATCTTCAAAGCCCACAAGAACATCCTGTTCGCCAACAGCGGCTACTTCCGGGCGCTGCTCATCCACTACATCCAGGACAGCGGGCGCCACAGCACGGCCTCGCTGGACATCGTCACCTCCGAGGCTTTCTCCGTCATCCTGGACTTCCTCTACTCGGGCAAGCTGGATCTGTGCGGCGACAACGTCATCGAGGTGATGTCGGCCGCCAGCTACCTGCAGATGACCGACGTGGTCAACTTCTGCAAGAGCTACATCAGGTCCTCGCTGGACATCTGCAGGAAGATGGAGAGGGAGGCCGTGGTGTTCTACCAGGCCGACAGCGGCAGCTCGGCCAGGGAGGGCCCCTCTGCTGGCTCCAAGGGTGCTGTCGCCGTGTCCTCCATGCAGGAGAAGGTTCTGGAATGCCAGAGGGACCCTCCCTGTGGGGAGTGCAGCGGCTGCCACCCGCTGGAGGCGGCGGCCAGGGACCCTCAGAGCAGCGTTTCCCCCGATGGCTGCAGGAGGGTGGAGCCCAAGGTGGAGGAGTTTGAGGCCGAGCCGGCGGCGGCGGCGGCGCTGGAGCCCATGGAAGAGGGGCAGCCCCTGGAGCTGGCCTGCAATAACCTGCACATGAAGCAGTTCCTGGAGGCTCTGCTGCGCAACGGCTCGGCCCCGAGGAAGGAGGACGTGGTGCATCACTTGGTGCGGGGATTTGAGGGTAGGGCTGAGGAGGCCGCAGTGCCCGTGAGCTCCATGGTGGACATTCACAGCGACTGGTATGGTGAGGACACAGGTGAGAGGACTCAGGGGTGCAGGGCAGGAGGGCACAGCTTTGTTGGGCTCCTTTTGTTATTCCTGTCCAAGAATATTTTGCTGAATTTTTGGCACGCTGAAATAAACTCTCGTTGTGCACTTTGAAAGCAGCTCTGCTTGTTTGTTTGGTGCAGCCCGTGGCAGGTGAGTATTGCTGACAGCTCTGCAGCTCCCAGATCTCCCCACGTTCCACTTGAGGTGATTCTTCTTTTATTAATAAACTCACTAGGACCTCATTCAATGTTTTTGAAGAGGATTTTTCCCTCCTGATGGTCACAGAGCAATCCAACAGGAGGGATCTGCTGCAGGACCTGCTGTTCCCATCCCATCCCAGCTCCTGCCACTGCTGCTCTGTTTGCAACTTCAGAGGGCAGAAATCAGCTTTATCCACCACTGAGGAAATCCTGTGAGTCCTTTAGCAGCACTGAAAGCTTTAAATTCTGTGGTAAGGCATAAAAATGAGGCTTTTTTCACTTTCCAGCTGCCCCAGCACCAGCTAATATTATATAGCTTATATACCAGCTATATAATATTTGGTATAAATACCAAATATTTCTGGTATTTATTTCTGAGATACCAGAAATATCTCAGGGATATTTCTGGCAGCACTCTCAGGAAAACCATGCCCATGTGCATTTCTCCTGATGTGGACAATAAAGATTTGGGCATTTTATCTGGTTTTTCATGAGTGCCTTGTCCAAACAGCTTAGTGAGGACAGGAGGTGGCTCTGCCACACTGAGGATGTGACAAATGCCACAAGGCTGGCACTGGCTGTAGCCAGCAAATTTATTTTCCTGTCATCTGCAGCTCAAGCTGCCCGTGTGACTTTAAAGCCAATAAAAAGTGACAAATCCTCTCAAGCAGGGCACTGATAAAATCACAACTGCAGGTTTGCTCCCAGAGCTGGGCTGTCACCGCTCACCCTGGTGCTTTTTGATGTGTGCCAAGGCAAGAACATCCAACACACACAAATTTCACTTCTCTTTTTCCTCTCTCAACATCTCCAGGCTGTTCATGAGTCACTAAAAGGGAAATGCTCCCAGAGTTTGATAGGGAACATCAGGAGTCCTGGCAGTGTAGCAGAAATGTTAGTGAGAGATGGGGTTTGAGTAGGAGGGAGGGAAAAGAAACCAAACCTTCCATTCCTTCTGTTTCTGTGCTAAAACAGGACCTTGGAGCAGTGAGGAGAGTGGGAGTTTCTCAGCTTTCAGTGGTGCTGCTGCCTCAGCTTCTTCACAAGGCTCCAGAAATGAGAAACACAAACTCCTGGTAAAAGAATGGTGCGCTCAGGTTAAGAGATGAGATAAAATTTCACTTTTTTTTTCAAGTTTCTACCTCTGTTTCAGTCATCCTTCAGAGCAGAAAGAGGGAAAACTGGCACCTGTAGAGCCCTGGAAGCGAGGCAGGACCAAGAACTGGGTTTAAATGAAGCTCTGAATGCCCAGCAGGGATTTGCAATCCCTTGGGAAGCTCCAAGACTCTCACATCATTAATTCCTTTTTTGATACACACCTTTTTTGATAGTGGGTTGGATAAACCTTAATGCAAAAGGATGCTCTGCAGCCTCACCTGCTTGAGACACAAAATATTTCCCTGAATCAGGGCCTGGAACAGGGAAAATCAATCCTTTGGCACCACTTTTCTGCTGGAAGGGAAGCTGGTGCTGGAAAACTTGGCAATGCCCACCTGTCTGTAAAATGGGATCTTCAAATTTAATTCTGTTCTTGCACCCGACTCCATAAATTGTGTATTGCTTGTGGTTTGGTTTTTGGAACGGTAAAATATTGCCAGGAAATATATTGGAGTCCTTCACCTCGTTATTCCCAACAGGAAGGGAGTAGAAACAGAGTCATATTTTCATATATAAATATGAAAGAACGTGGCCAAAATGTGCTATTTCTGCCTGTAGTTTGTGTTAAAGGTTTCAGTTTTTGATGCTGTTTANCTCGTGTCCCCTCCCTCGTGTCCTGTCACCTCTGTCTGTCGCTCATGTCCTGTCACTCGTGTGCTGTCACCTCTGTCCTGTCATTTGTGCCCTGTCACTCATGTCTTGTCATTCGCGTTCTGTCACTTCTGTCCCCTCACTCGGGTTCTACCCCCTCTATCCTGTCACTCATGTTCCTTCCCTCGTTTCCCCTCTGTCCGGTCGCTCATGTCCCATCACTCGGGTTGTGTCCCCTCTGTTCTGTCACTCATGTCCCCTCACATGGGTTCTGTCACTTCTGTTCCGTCACTCGTGTTCCCTCTTATGTCCCCTCTGTTCTGTCACTCGTGTCCCGTTCCCTTGCCTGCAGGAAGGAGGAGCTGCTGCAGCCCAGCACTGCCCCGGGCAGATCTCTGAGGGTTTTATGGGGTCACTCAGAGCCCTGAAAAGTGAAAGATGGAGTTTGAGGACTGGGTGGTTTTATGGGGTCACCCAGAGCCCCAAAAACTGGGGGGCAGAGTTTGAGGACTCAGTGGATTTATGGGGTCACTCAAAGCACTGAAAAGGGGGGACAGAGTTTGAGGACTCGGTGGATTTATGGGGTCACTCAGACCCCGAGGAACCTGGGGCAGTGGGGATCTCTTTCCCTCTCCTGAGGGAAATGGGAGGAAAGGAAAATTTGTGTCATCCCCACCCCGGAGGAAATGAGAACACGGCAGAGACTCTGAGAACTCCTTTAATTGCTGTTAACTGCAAGTCTGTAAAAGGTTTGGAGAAAGTCTTTGTTACAAAACTACCAGCAGCTGTTAGAATTGTTCCTGGTTTGTCACCCCAGCTAGAAAAGGCTCAGGGAGATGAGGAATAGTTCAAGAACAGAGAGAATATTGCACAACCAACCCCACGGTTAATTCCACTAAAAGAAGGAAAGAAAGTGACACAGATGCTGCAGCTCTGCTGTGGGATCAGCTGGGGATGTCCCCATTGATGTCCCCATTGATGTCCCCTGCCCGCCACAACCCCAGCCAGGACAAGGAGAGGCTCTGCTGGACCAGGGCTGTGGCAGGACAGGGATGCTCCCACCTAAAGAAGGAAAAGCCAAGCCCAAAACCCCAACTCTTCCAAGTGCACCTCGTTTGAGCAGGAAACCTCCAGGACAAGGGCAGAAAGTGTCACCCCAGCACCCCAAAGGCCAGGGAGGGCTCTGTCCCCTTGGGTAACTGTGCAGGAGCAACATCTCCTGCTGTGACATGAAACTGCCCCAAACAGGAGCTGTGGGGCTGAAGGAGTGAAGCGAGGAGTGCCAGGGGTCGAGTGAAGGAACCCAAAGCTCGTGGTGGCTGCAGGGCTGGCATGGGTGGGACAGGGCTCAGATGGGGACACACAACAGGGACACCCCAATTTGGGAGCCTCTGTGCCCCCANAGAGCTGGGATTTATTTGAGGGGACTCAAATAAATTTAAATAAATAAATATCTGCCTGCAATAGATGCCATTGGTGTGGTGGCACCCAGGGTGGCACAGGGACACCAGGGTGGCACTGAGGGCTCAGTATGGATTTTTTTAAATTTTTAAAAAAAATTTTAAAAATTTTTAAGAGCCCCTCTGGGTTATCAGAACCCAGGAGAGGTTTGTGGGGTGCTGCAGCCCTGGCACCCCAAAAATCTGGGGTGTCCCACCCTGACACCCAAAAACCTGGGGTATCCCAACCTGGCACCCCAAAAACCTGGGGTATCCCATCCTGGCACCCCCAAAAACCGGGGGTATTTCACCCTGGCACCCCAAAAACCTGGGGTATCCCATCCTGGCACCTCAAAACCTGGGGTATCCCAACCTGGCACCCCCCAACCCAGGGGTATTTCACCCTGGCACCCCAAAAACCTGGGGTATCCCACCCTGGCACCCCAAAAACCTGGGGTATCCCACCCTG